GTACAGACTATACTTAAAAAACACCCGATATAAATATTAGATATTTTGATTGACGTCTTCATGTTTTGCAATGACAGTTTATTTTTTAAATTGTAATGCGACGTTGCCACGTTATCCCAATTTTCTTGGATTTTTAGCACTGGAAGGCTTCACAAAAAAAATCACAAAAGGAATATTTTTGAAATCTTTGTTAAAATATTTTGTGGAGAAATAAATAAAAGTATGGGCGTTGTTGAGGTTTAAATGAAATTCAGTTTCATATACAGAGTGTTCATCAGAAAAATTACTATAATTTTCCAATAGCGATATCTCATTTTTTTGAATTCTGTTTTTGTTTCCTTTCTTTTTCGTCGAGCATTTTCTGTATTTGAAGCTGATAGTAAAGGTACTTTTGTACTTTTTTAAGAGATACTACAACATATTAGAAGAATAAGAATAAAACATAGAGTAAGAATACAAATTGTTCTATTTGAAAAAATTGAAATATCGATATTTGAAAATTGTAAAGTTTTAGTTATTTTTACAAAAACTCTGTATCTTAAAATTAAAATTTGATTTAATTGATACCACTAGAAAACACGTACTTTTCTTTATCCTTCCACAAAATATTGTGATAAAGATTTAAAAAATTACCCTATTGCCATTTTTTTGTTGCCAAAAAATTTCAAGAAAATTGGAATAACGTGGCAACGTTGCATCGTAATTTCAAAAATAAACTGTGGTTATAAATCCTAGAAAGAGGCTAACGAGAATATATAAAAATATATAGGGTGTTTCAGTCAAACAAAAATTAATTTGTGTGTTACAGCTTAAAAACAACACTTAAAATATCCTTGGGCCCAAGTGTAGAAGACAGGCGTTCAAAGTTATTTTCTTTTTTTGTAGATATTTGACTATATTTTAAGTCTCTACTTACTGAAATCGATTGGAATTTCATTATTCAAAATAATTTAATAATTAATATTAGAAAAAAACAAAACAAATTATAATGAATCTGATAACAGGGGCTAATTTTTTACCTTTTTTAATCCATCTGTCCAAATCGATATTTTGTTTTTGTAAGTAAACGCCAAATTAACGGTTGGAATTTTTTAATGATTTTTCTCAAACTTGGGCTCGTGAACTTAGTGCACGATTTTTTAATCACCCAGTGTATATAAAGTAAGTAAAATTTGGAGATGACGTTATCACAACATACATCTAAAAATGTCAAAATTTCAAAATATAAAATTTAAAAATCGGAAAATCGAAAAATCCAGAAGCGAAAAAGTTCAAAAATCGAAAACCGCGAAATGAAAAATTGGAACATTAAAAATTCAAAATCTGGAACTGAAAATCGAAACATGAAAAGATCGAGAAATCGAAAAGTCACAAAATTGAAAAATTAAAAAAAAAAACAAAAAATCGAAACATTGAAAAATCCAAAAGTTTCCACAACTAAAATGTTGAAAACTGAGAAATCGAAAAGTCGAAAAATTTTTAAAATCCAAAAACCGAGATGTCATAATCGAAACACTAATAAATCGTAAAATCGAAAAATTGAAAAATCGATATATAAAAGAGTTGAAAAATCGAAAATTAAAAAAATAAGATATTGAAAAATAGAAAAATTTAAATATCTAAAATTTAAAAATCTAGAAGCGAGAAAGTCGAAAAATCGAACACCGTTAAATGGAAAAATCGAAGCATTGAAAAATTCAAAAACTGAAACTGAAAATTGAAACATGAAAAGATCGAGAAATCGAAAGTCGCAAAATTGAAATATTTAAAAGAAAAAAAAACTAACAATAAAAAATCGAAACATTGAGTTCTTGATAAGTCGGGAAAAACTGAAAATTCGAAAAATTTAAAAATGGAAAGTCGAGATGCATAATCGAAACACCAATAAATCGTAAAATCAAAAAATTGAAAAATCGAAATATAAAAGCTGAAAAATTTCAAAATTTCAAAATATAAAATTTCAAAATCATACAATAATAAAGTCTAGAAGCGAAAAAGTTCAAGAATTGAAAAGCGCAAAATGGAAAATCGGAACATTGAAAAATTCAAAATCTGGAACTGAAAATCGAAACATGAAAAGATCGAGAAATCGGAGTCACAAAATTGAAAAATTAAAAAAAAAAAGAACAAAAAACATTGAAACAGTGAATTCTCGATAAATCGAGAAAAACTGAAAATTCCAAAAATTTAATAACCGAAAAATTGAAAAGTCAAAAATTTTAAATTGCGCTCGGGAACTAAAAAACCTCACATATAAAATTTTCCAGCGCCACTGTATTTATGGTGGAGGTCTGGAGTTTTGAATTTTAAAACTCGAACAATTGAACAACCGAAAATTCTAAATACGAAATGTCGAGAAATCGAAAGTTTGGGCATCGAAACATCGAAAAAGCGAAAAATTAAAATATGGAAAAATTGAAAAATCCAAAAATTGAAAACTTTCCAAAATTAAAATGTTGAAAAACTGAGAAATCGCAGTCGAAAAATTTTAAAAATTGAAAAACCGAGATGTCATAATCGAAGCACCAATAAATCGTAAAATCGAAAAATTGAAAAATGGAAATATAAAAGCTGAAAACTTTCTAAATTTCAAAATATAAAATTTAAAAGTCGGAATATCGAAAAATCGAGAAGCGAAAAAGTTCAAAAATCGAAAACCACGAAATGGAAAAATCGAAACACTGAAAAATTCAAAATCTGAAACTGAAAATCGAAACATGAGAAGATCGAGAAATCGAAACGTCACAAAATTGAAAAATTAAAAAAAAAGAACAACAAAAATCGAAACAGTGAATTCTCGATAAATCGAGAGAAACTGAAAATTCCAAAAATTTAATAACCGAAAAATTGAAAAATCAAAAATTTAAAATTGCGCTCGGGAAGTAAAAAACTTCACATATAAAATTTTCCAGGGCCACTATATTTATTTAAAGATGGAGGTCTGAAGTTTTGAATTTTAAAACTCGAAAAATTGAACAACCGATAATTCTAAATCCGAAATGTCGAGAAATCGAAAGTTTGGGCAATCGAAACATCGAAAAAGCGAAAAATTAAAATATGGAAAAATTGAAATATCCAAAAATTGAAAACTTTCCAAAACTAAAATGTTGAAAAACTGAGAAATCGCAAAGTCGAGAAATTTTAAAAATTGAAAAATCGAAATATAAAAGCTGAAAATTTTCAAAATTTCAAAATATAAAATTTAAAAATCGGAATATCCAAAAATCGAGAAGCGAAAAAGTGCAAAAATCGAAAACCGCGAAATGGAAAAATCGAAACGCTGAAAAATTCAAAATCTGAAACTGAAAATCGAAACATGAAAAGATCGAGAAATCGAAAAGTCACAAAATTGACAAATTAAAAAAAACTATAAAAAAATTGAAACATTGAATACTCGATAGATCGAGAAAAGCTGAAAATTCAAAAAATTTAAGAACCGAAAAATTAAAAAATCAAAAATTTAAAACTCGAAAAATTGAACAACCGAAAAATCTAAATCCGAAATGTCGACAAATCGAAAGTTTGGGCAATCGAAACATCAAAAAAGCGAAAAATTAAAATATCGGAAAACTTAAAAAATCCAAAAATTGAGAAGTTTCCAAAACTAAAATGCTGAAGAACTGAGAAATCGAAAAGTCGAAAAATTTTAAAAATCGAAAAACCGAGATGTCATATGATGGAAACACCAATAAATCGAAAAATTGAAAAACCAAAAATTGAAAAATTCGAAAAATTGAAAAATAGAAAAAATTGAAAATCTAAAATTTAAATTTCGAAAAATTTTAAAATCGCAAAATCGAAAAATCGAGAAGCGAAAAAGTCCAAAAATTGAAAACCCCGAAATGGAAAAATCGAAACATTGAAAAATTCAAAAACTGAAACCGAAAATCGAAACATGAAAAGATCGAGAAATCGAAAAATCGCAAAATTGAAAAATTGGAAAGAAAAAATGAACAATAAAAAAATCGAAACATTGAATTCTCGCTGAAAATTTGAAAAATTTTATCGAAAAATTGAAAAATCTAAAATTTAAAATTATGCTTGAGAACTAAAAAAGGGACGCTACATTTAAATATCGAGCTCTGGAGTTTTGCTCAAAACTTTTCACCTATTTTGTCTTGATGAACTTACAAAATTTTTTAACTTATTGATATGTATAGGATGATAAAATTTGCAAACTATCAGTTTTTTGTCTAGTTTGAGCAAAAGCATTTTTTATAATGTGGATGTTTTTTGTATTCAGATTGATAGAAAAAATTTACAGATGTTTTCTCAATCATCGTAAAAAATAACAACGGTATTTAAATGATTAGAATACAAGTAGGTATGTACAAGAAAACAATTTCGTTGACCGACAACGTCTTTAGCTCAGAAAAAAAAAAGATATCCAGAAAAGATCCTATTTGCCAATTGATAACTCTTAAGTCGAGCAATTAAAATTTACTTATAAACTGTTTCGCATAAACGGAGGACCGACGTTTCGCATTTTACAGACTATGAATTGTCAAAAGGATTCCATTCCAGCACTTTTAGATTAAAAGAAAATGTTTATGTGAAGAAAAGCTAGAAAATAAATCGACCCCACTCAAACACATAATATGCAGATATTAATTTAATCCGTCTTCAACGCCACGTTTCCATTGTAGCGCTTCAACAACGCACCTCGTCCTTGATTCCTGCCACATTTTCGCGTGTTTCTATTCACGTAATTCGTAATACCAGTGATTAACTTTTAATTACGGCACCCAACACGCAGCTCCCATTTAATTAATCGCTCCCGCCGATAGATCAAACGTCCCAGCGTAGGCGAAACCGTTCGATTTTTAATATCCTCCTCGAAGAACAAAGGACCCATCCTTCGCCCAACGACCAATCGAATCCTCGCCGTGCACCACCCGATTAACATTTCAATCACACACTCGATTGATGTATCATGCTGAATGAATTCGACTGGGCCCACGTCGGCGTAAGCTCCGCAGGAATACGAAAACAGTGTGTCGATGCACGGCGACATTGTCGGTCGTAGCCGTACCTCATAATCGCAAGTGAAAGGTACAATATACGTTGCCGGTTTTGTTTGGAAACAGGATTGCATTGCGACGCGCCGCTGTTGAGTAGTCGTCGGACGGACGTCGTCGTTGCGTCGGAGAAGACGATGGGGCGGCGAAAATCGTAGCGAGCGCAGTGTGGCGGCGGACTTCTTGCGTGGAGTGCGAAAAAGTGCGAAAAACAACGCGAGGAAAACCAGCGTAGGTGGTGCGGTGTGTGTGTGCAACAGATTGCAGCGCTGGAAACGAGTATTTCTCAATTTCATTTGATTTTTGTGGCGCAACGAGACACTCCCTTTAATGTTTACTCGTGGTATTTATGGGCAGAACGTGATGGGACGAGGTGGTGGAACACGGGTTCCGAAGGGGTGGTTCGATTTTGGGAAAGTCGGGGAAACTAATCAGAACATTTCGTTTTAATTGCGCCAAGAAAACGCGAAAATTTAGGCGAAGTGGTTTCAAAGTGATAAGTGACACCAGAAATGACAAAATTTATAAAACTAGCGACTATTGCATTGCGTAATTTTTTTAATGAAAATGTTTTTCTTGTGGCCATTTTTAATTAAGGTTTGCAAAAGCGTCGATCACGGTGTGATTTGAGCGAGAAAAATGCTGACACTTTCATTCGTTACGTAACTGTATTTAAAAAAACAAAAAACGTACCAATAAACCGTTACATCACAACAAATGCGCTACTTGCCCCCACTGACACATGCGTGAGTTGATTATTGATGAATTGTAACAAGTTTTCATGAAAACCAAAAAACATCCGTTAAGTTTTACTAAGTCTTCAACAATTTTGATATTTTATGAAGTTTTACTGAAAGGTGTTAAAAATTAGAATAAAAGATAGAGACGAAAGTTAAAAACAACTACACTGTCAATATTAGAAGTTTTGTGTTTATAACAATGCAATTGAGTCAATAGTTTTCCATAGTCGAACCGCCGTTTTAAGAATTCTTCTTTCTGGATTTTGAGTGGGAATTCTTTGAACAGTCGAACTTTATTGTAATATCAATAAAATTATACCCGATTATTCTAAAATTCTAAAAGTTTTAATATCTTAGAATATTTTATAAACACTGTACTAACCTTATTGTACGCCAAAAATAACCCTGATTTTTTCTGAATTTCCACGTTGTTAAAAAAATTCAAGAAAATTGGAATAACTTGACAACGTCGCACCGAAACTTCAAAACTACAATAAAATATTTCCTTTCATTTTCTTTTAAAATGTTTTCTTGACGTTTCATGGCCTCAGTTTCCGCCTCTCTGTCGTCTGTGTCAATTTTATTTGACAGATAATTTCCGAAACTATTGCACTGTTGTCAGGTTTTTTTGTATTTTAGGAATATCATGTCCATGATAAACCGCTAACCAAAATTTGTCCCCACTAACAATTTGATGACATCTAAAAAATTTGCATAGTAAATGTTATTTAAATTTTATAAAGTAACATAGTCTTAACTTGTTGGTTATGAATCCGCCGTGACTTGTTTAATTTGGGGTTATCATCCTTTTCAAATTACACAAATATAATGCAAATTGCGGCCTTTTAAAACGAAGTTAAAATGAAAATGAACTGAAATTTAACTAGAATAAAGTATTCCCAACAAAACAAAACACTAAATTTCTTTTGATTTGTTACTTCTCGAGAGTAAGCTATCCATAATCCTAGAGAATGAAAAAAATTGATCTCCGTTTCTCTCTGTCATCTCTCGTCTTTTTGATTCGATTACACAGATAATCTACGACAGTAATTGTTCTCAAGTTTTTTTTTTTTAGGAATATGTCAATGATAAAAGGCTAATCAAAATTTGTTTCCACCAATAATTTGATGACGTCATCTAAAAATTTTACATTTTATGAAATAACATACACCTAAATTTGTTGGTTATGAATCCGCCATAATTTTTTTAATTTGTAGGAATTATCATTTTTGTTTTTTTTTTAATTTCTTTTTCAAATTACACAAATACAATGCAAATTGAGACCTTTTTAAATGCAGTTAAAATCAAAATAAATTTTTCAATTTTTCGATATTTAATTTTTCGACTATTCGGATTTCGATTTTCCAGTTTTTTGATATCCCCGTTTTTCGAATTTTCAAATTTTCTCATTTCTCAATTTGTTCGATTTGTAGATTGTTCAATTTCTCAATATTTCGATTCTTCGGTTTTGAGATTTTTCAATTTTTCGATTTATCGACTTTTCAATTTCTAAATTTTAGATTTTTGATTTTTCAATTTCAACTTTGTTTCAATTTTTTAAATTTTAGATACATATTTCGATTTTTTTATTGTTCAATTTGTTTTCTTTCAAATTTTTCAATTTTGCGACTTTTCGATTTTTCAGTCTTTTCATGTTTCGATTTTCAGTTTCAGTTTTTGAATTCTGCAATGTTTCGATTTTTCCATTTGACGGTTTTCGATTTTTCGACTTTTCAGCTCTTTTATATCTAGATTTTCAATTTTACGATTTATTAGTGGTTGGATTATGACATCTCGGTTTTTCGATTTCCCAATTTTTCAACATTTCAGTTTTGGAAACTTTTCAATTTTCGGCTTTTTCAATTTTTCGATATTTTAATGTTTCGATTGTTCAATCTTTCGATTTCTCGAGACTTCGGATTTAGTTTTTCAGTTGTTCAATTTTTCTATTCTTCTGTTCTTAGATTTTTCAATTTATGGGTTTTTAAAATTTTTCGAATTTCCAGTTTTTCTTGATTTATCGATAAATCAATGTTTCGACTTTTTCCATTTGACGGTTTTCGATTTTTCAGTTTTATCTTCGATTATATGACATCTCGGTTTTTCGATTTTTAAATTTTTTCAACTTTTCGATTTCCCAGTTTTTCAACATTTCAGTTTTGTGAACTTCTCAATTTTTCGTTTTCTCGATATTTCGGATTTTGTTTTTCGGTTGTTCAATTTATCGATTATTCAGTTTTTAGATTTTTCAATTTATCGATTTTTTCATTGTTCGATTTCTCGAATTTTCAATTTTTCGATTTGTCGATTTTTTTTTTCATATGAAATTGTTCAATTTTTAGCTTTTCGATTTTGGCCTATTTCGATTCTCGACTTTTCGATTTCTCAATCTTTTGATTTTCGATTCCTGGATCTTTTAATTCATAGGTTTTCGATACTTTGATTTTCCAATTTTTTAAATTTTCCGATTTTTCAGTTCTTCGAATTGTTGGAATGTTTAAATTTTTGATTTATTAGTGTTCCGATTATATGACATCTCGGCTTTTCGATTCTTAAAATTTTTCGAATTTTCGTTTTCCCAGTTTTTCAACATTGGAGTTCTGGGAACTTCTCGATTTTCGTATTCTTAAATTTAATTTTTAGATTTTTCGGTTGTTCAATTCTTCGATTTGTCATTTTTAGTTTTTCAATTTTTCAACTTCTCGACTTTTCAATTTCTAAATTTTAGATTTTTGTTTTTTCAATTTTTCGATAGGTATTTCAACTTTGTTTCAGTTTTTTAAATTTTAGATACATATTTCGATTTTTTTTTATTGTTCAATTTGTTTTCTTTCAAATTTTTCAATTTCTCGATCTTTTCATGTTTCGATTTTCAGTTTCAGTTTTTGAATTCTGCAATGTTTTGATTTTTCCATTTGACGGTTTTCGATTTTTCGACTTTTTCGCCTCTCGATTTTCGATTTTTCAGCTCTTTTATACCTAGATTTTCAATTGTTGTTTTTTCAATTTTACGATTTATTAGTGGTTGGATTATGACATCTCGGTTTTTCGATTTCCCAATTTTTCAACATTTCAGTTTTGGAAACTTTTCAATTTTCGGTTTTTTCAATTTTTCGATATTTTAATATATCGATTTTTCGATGTTTCGATTGTTCAATCTTTCGATTTCTCGTGACTTCGGATTTAGTTTTTCAGTTGTTCAATTTTTCGATTCTTCTGTTTTTAGATTTTTCAATTTATGGGTTTTCAAATTTTTCGAATTTCCAGTTTTTTTTTATTTATCGATAAATCAATGTTTCTATTTTTTCCATTTGACGGTTTTCAATTTTTCAGTTTTATCTTCGATTATTTATATGACATCTCGGTTTTTCGAATTTTAAAATTTTTCAACTTTTCGATTTCCCAGTTTTTCAACATTTCAGTTTTGGGAACTTCTCAATTTTTCGTTTTCTCGATATTTAGGATTTTGTTTTTCAGTTGTTCAATTTATCGATTATTCAGTTTTTAGATATTTCAATGTATCGAGATTTCGATGTTTCGATTTTTTCATTGTTCGATTTCTCGAATTTTCAATTTTTCTTTTGTCGATTTTTTTTCATTTGAAATTGTTCAATTTTCAGCTTTTCGATTTTGGTCTATTTCGATTCACGACTTTTCGATTTCTCAATCTTTTGATTTTCGATTCCTGGATGTTTCAATTCATAGGTTTTCGATACTTTGATTTTCCAATTTTTTAAAATTTAAATTTTCCGATTTTTCAGTTCTTCGAATTGTTGGAATTTTTAAATTTTTTATTTTTCCATTTTTGTTTTTTTCATTTTTACGATTTATTAGTGTTCCGATTATATGACATCTCGGCTTTTCGATTCTTAAAATTTTTCGAATTTTCGATTTCCCAGTTTTTCAACGTTGGAGTTTTGGGAACTTCTCGATTTTCGTATTTTTAAATTTAATTTTTAGATTTTTCGGTTGTTCAATTTTTCGATTTTTCATTTTTAGTTTTTCAATTTTTAGCTTTTGATTTTGATTTATTTAGATTTTTCAATTTTTCGATACGTATTTCAACTTTGTTTCAATTTTTTTAATTTTAGATACATATTTCGATTTTTTTACTGTTCAATTTGTTTTCTTTCAAATTTTTTAATTTTGCGACTTTTCGATTTCTCGATCTTTTCATGTTTCGATTTTTTAGATTCAGTTTTTGAATTCCGCAATATTTCGATTTTTCCGTTTGACGGTTTTCGATTTTTCGACTTTTTCGCCTCTCGATTTTCGATTTTTCCACATTTTAATTTTAAAAAATTTTAAATTTTAGAATTTCGATTTTTCAGCTCTTTTATATCTAGATTTTCAATTTTTGTTTTTTCAATTTTACGATTTATTAGTGGTTGGATTATGACATCTCAGTTTTTCGATTTCCCATTTTTTCAACATTTCAGTTTTGGAAACTTTTCAATTTTCGGATTTTTCAGTTTTTCGATATTTTAATATATAGATTTTTCGATGTTTCGATTGTTCAATCTTTCGATTTCTCGAGAC